TGCCAAAACCAAATCTACGCCCTTGGATCAACAGTAACTGTGGTGTAAATGATAACCCTTCAACTGTGACTGTTATTTTTATTTTCATGTTAACAGACTTGTTTTTTTAATGGTGGGGTCAGCTGGTGACCGTTAAATGATTTGAAGTTGATCTTTTCTGACATGATGATTAGAACTGAAACCCAGAACTGAACTTTACAGGTATACTTAAAAAAAAAGGTATGTTAAGGTTATGCTAAAAGTTACCATTTCAAAACTCTTTCAGTTAAATTCAATTTTGATGTCATTACTTCCCTCTCTGTGAGTCTCTCTCTCTTTGAAAGAAACACACACAGAGCAGCTCAGAGTGAACTTTGTTTTTCAATTAAACTTTATTAATAAAAAGAGCCTTACAGCATAGAAGCATTTTTACAGCACAAAAAAGGAAATATAGTTTTGGAGAGTAAATAACAGATAATACAGAGTGTTAAATGAATGAAATGCAGTTAAGCTAAGTGTTATCATGATAAAGGAATTATAGCAATTTTTTATATTGTTAATAATATTGAAAATATTGTTTTTTGACTGGTTTGTTTGTTTTAGGTAAAAGTAAAAAGTTAAAGGACTACACATACACATTTGTAACACTCTTGAGAAATACTTCTTTCCATATGTAATCACATAACATCGTAATCAGGTGTTATAGTACACGTGTTTCAGCACATGGTGCCCAGCTGTCAAAGAGTTCTTCTGGTTTATGTGTGAAAGACATAGAGAAAGAAGAATAATGTCATCAAAACTGAATAGGAAGTGTTTCTAAGTGTTTAATTATTCATTTATTAGATGAAAAGATTATTTGGGTAGTGAATTACTTATTATGCAAAAGATTTAATAAAGGGGGGCAATACATAAACATTTCAGAAGAGGTTACAACCCTAAATGTAAATGAACCAAGATAAATTATGTTTTTGAAGTGATTCTATATCAATCTTTGAGCTTCATTTGAGGCATATTTTTGCAGTGTATGCCATTAAAAAAAAAAAACAAATAAACAACAAAAAGCTTCTATAAGATGTTATTATGTTACCTGCTGGGAATTTTAATCATTACTGCATATAACATGTAAAACTTCAAACTGTGGAAGAACTGAAACAGCCAGACTAAAGTC